TGCACGTTCTGTACATGTGTCCTAGAACTTTAAGTACAATAATAAAAAAACACTGAATATACACTAAAAAAACACACACACACACATTTCAAGCTCCAATTTTTTCTGTAGTACTTTATTAAGATTTTTGTAATTAATATAATTTTATGTTACATGTATTATTCATGCGGTTATATGTAATATTTTATTAACCATTAGATAAAGTAAAATAGGAGTGGAACTTTTCTTATTTGAAGGAGGTCCCCTATGTAAAGTTTATTCTCTGTAGGTTTATTGCCGAGTTAGAAATGAGGAAACTGAGGCCAGCACAAGAAAATTAGATGCCAATTTATTCAGCTCCGGGGCGAGGTTCTGTGGTCCCGGGGAGAGGGGCCAGGGAAGTCACACCTGATTCCTCTCAGGAGTGGGGTTTTATAGGGAGTGAAGGCGTTTGCTTGGATTTGGAGAAACAGGATGTGGATGGGGTGAGCTGCTATTGGTGGGATTTCTGGTGAGCAGGCTAAGTGCTGAGTGCAGAGGGGATTTCCAAGGCGGGCTAGGTGCCGGGTGCAGAGGGGATTTCCAAGGTGGAGCTACTTGATGGGCATATTCTGATAGTGTAATTTTCAAGCAGGGAGGGAGATGGGCGTGTTCGAACTCCCGGCGAGGCAACCAGCCTTACACCATACCCTCTGATATCACAGCCAACTAAGAGTGGCATTTAGGAGAAAAAAGAGAAAGAAACAGATGTTGGCTTCACGGTAGGTTTTGGGAAGATGCTCCATATTTCCTTTGGTTCCTGTTCCTTTGTCCCTTTCCTTCATCTGTACTATCAAAGATTAGCACTAGGCTAGTGGCTCTGTCTGTAATCTCAGTACTTCAGGGGGCCAAGGCAATAACAGGACTCCATTTCTACAAAAAATAAAAATAAAAAAATTAGCAAGATATAGTGGCTCAGTCCTGAGGCAAGAGGATTGCTTGAGCTCAGGAGTTCAAGGCTGCAGTGAGCCATGAGGTTACCACTTTACTCTGGCCTGGGCAACGATCAGAGTGAGACCCTGTCTCTAAAAAATACCTTTTTAAGATTGCATTCCAGCCTGGGCAATAGAGCAAGAATTCTGTTCTAAAAAAAAAAAAAAAAAAAAAAAAAAAAAAAAAAAAAAAAAAAAAAAAAAAAAATAGACAAAATAAGTATGACGTTTCAAAGGAAAATAAGTCATGTGACTTAGAAATTAATAGTAGGGACAAAAGGAGTCATGTAGCTCCCATGTAAGAAAGTTAATCAAGCTTTTTAAATCACAAATCTGTTATCAACTCTAACCATTTCTGTACCATGTTAGATATTTTTGTGCCAATGTCTAAGTCATAAAAATGCCTCTTCTTTTCTTTCTTGTTTTCTTTATGTATTTCAAAGCTATGCTATTTGGCCCAGTTCATGGCTCATATCTTTACTGCGTATTGAATACGTTATCAAAATTAAGTGACACTGCCAAAATAGAAGAATAATTAAAAATTTACATACAGAGATAATTTGCAGACTCTCATTCTGATCAATTTACCAAATTTAGATTATCTGTTTCTCCTACAAAGGAATAATATTAGCAGACCCTGATTTTTGCAATGATAAGTGGAAATTCCATATATATTTCTGTGAATATATAGAACATTTTTGAGTATTTTACATGTTTATTAATAATTTGAAGTATTTATTATATGAACTGTGTAGTTATGATTTTAGTAATTCTATGTAGTCTCTATTTTATCATTGATACTTAGTGATGGCTTACCATTGTGAAATAGCAACCCCTGGTCTGCTCTGTGGGTTATAAAAGCAGCCTCCTCTCCAGTCACTTGACTTTCAAGTTTTTTTTTTTTTTTTAGACGGAGTTTTGCTCTTGTTACCCAGGCTGGAGTGCAATGGCGCAATCTCGGCTCACCGCGACCTCCGCGTCCTGGATTCAGGCAATTCTCCTGCCTCAGCCTCCTGAGTAGCTGGGATTACAGGCACGCGCCACCATGCCCAGCTGATTTTTTTGTATTTTTAGTAGAGACGGGGTTTCACCATGTTGACCAGGATGGTCTCGATCTCTTGACCTCGTGATCCACCCGCCTCGGCCTCCCAAAGTGCTGGGATTACAGGCTTGAGCCACCGCGCCCGGCCTCAAGTTTTTATTACTTGTAGATATTTCCCAGTGTATTATAACTGGCTCACACCTAATTCAAAGGAATTGTTTTGTTTAACTCTACTTAAGTCTTTCCAAATTATTAAGCTTTCACAGAAATAAATCTCTGCACTTACATTTAGTTCTTCTGTGAAATAGATTACCTACATAACCAAAAAGTTTTTTGTGAACTGGTTTGGTAACACATTTAAGTGAATTTGTTGAAAAAGTGCTATCAAATTGATAGAAGTTTAAAGGTATTGGGGTACTAAAGGGATCCTGGGGTGCAAGATATTTGAGTGTGCTGATTACATACCTATATTCTTATTCCTAATTGGGTGTTCAATAGTTGCAATCCAATTTCTTCAGCAGGTAATTATTTTCACAGAGATTTTGAACGTCACCATTTTCATATATTATGTTCTTATATATCTGTTTCAGAATCTCTGTTCTCTCCTAGGGATTTGTCTGTTCACATTCCACATTGCCAGGCCCTTGTGCTACAAGGAAGGAGGTTTCGTTTGCTTCTGTTCACAGGGGAATCACTGTCCCTGAGCTACTGCAATGCTGGTACACAGTAAGGAGTCCTTGCCCTCTTACTAAATGTGTCTGTACATTCCAGATAAATATTCTTTTCCATAATGTCATTGATCAACCACATTACTCTGAGATAGTGCTATGAATTACCAGGTAAGCAATCTCTCTATTCCATTTCTGATCCAACCTCACATCCTGTCTTCTCAAACCTCACACGGTCCCCCCTGAAACTCATGAGTCACATAAAAATCCCCACAAACCTTCACTTCTACAACTGTTCCCATCACCTGCCTGCCCTTCTTCGTCTTGCCTGTGCCCTGCCCCTCAGCAAAGCCACTTTTTCTTGTACTCCAAGACCTTCATGACTTGGACAATAGTGTAGATACCATTCTTATTCACATTTACTCCCTATCCTTTCTTAAAAGAAAATCTAAAGACAAAGTAAAATTCCTCCAGCAGTCTTACTGCCTGCTTCAGTTCACAACCTAGTATTCCTAGTGGCTTCTCCATTCCCTGCCTCCAAGCCCACTGATACAGTTTGGATGTGTGTCCCCTCCAAATCTCATGCTGAAATGTAACTATTGATGTTGGAGTTGGGCTTGGTGGGAGGTGTTGGATCCCAAGGTGGAGTTCTCATGAATGGCTTGGGGCCATCCCCTTGGTGATACATATTAGCTGGTCATTTATAAAGACTCTGGGACTTCCCTGCTCTCTCCTTGCTTGATAACCTCTCTCCATGTGAGGTGCCTGCTTACCCTTGGCCTTCCGCCATGACTGGAAGCTTCCAAAGTCCGCCCCCGAAGCCAGTGCCAGCACTACACTTCCTGCATAGCTTGCAGAACAAAAATTAAACTCTTTTCTTTCTAAATTACCCAGTCTCAGGTCATCCTTCATGCCAATGCAGGTAGACTAACACACCCTCCCTTCCTTCCATCTCCCATGCAGTTCAGGCTTCCCACTTGCAACACTCTAAAACAATTTCTTTTCTGAAATGAGGCAAGGAATATCTCTTCTCAAAGGCAGCCACCGTGGTAGATAAATTCCACGCTCTGGAATCCTCAGTGTCCCTGCTGCTCCTGGATTTTCTTCTACCTCATGGCTCTTGGTTTTGAGGGTTCTTCTTGATCCACTCTCAAGTTTAAAAATGTTGGCGTACTGTAGCCTTCACCCTTGCAATTCTGTCTATATTTTCTGTGTAAGTGATCTCATGTAGCCCGTGGCATTAAGGACCATTTCGGTATTATAAGGAATTTATATGTTCATGACTCCCAAACATATTTCTCCAGCCTCAAACCCTCCAGTGAGTTCCAGGATTATCTTTTCAATAGCACCGTTCACAGGACCAGCAGCACAGCAATTGCTTTAGTAGCTGTAGCAAACACACCCTGAACAAAACTCCTGATTCTTCAGATAGTTTCTCCTCTTGGTAGTGCCCATCCTGATAAATGACACTATCATCATCCAGTTTCTTGAGCCCATATGCTCAAACTATTGGATCCTTCCCCCTTCCCAGTGCTGTCACCTAGGGCACTAGCAGGTCCCACACTATCTTTTAGGTCAACCCCAAACTTGCCTGTACCCTTCCAGATGCACCACTTGCCTCTCAGACCAAACCATCCTCATGGCTTGCTTGAAATAGTGTACTGATCTCCGGTGCTTTCTGTTTCCATGGTTGTAGCCAAAATCGTGTTTTTAAAAATATCAAAGAGATCATAAGGCTGTCTTCTGCTTAACACTCCTGGTTTTAGAATAAACGCTGTTCTCTGGTCCCAATGTCTAGCAGTATTCATCACAGTCTATTTTGTAACCTCGTATCTTCTCTCACCAGTCTCCAGTTCTACTGGGCTTATATTTGGACTTCAGTTAAATGGAAATTATCCCCCACATCCTTGCCCTTGCCTGGAACACACTTTTCCCTTTGTTTTAGAGTAAAAAGCTCTTTTGTTATTATTATAAATATGTAGATTTTGTGCAGAGAAATGTTTTTAATAAGATCAAATATTTAACCATACAACCTGGGCAATCTAACAATCCAAAGTGGAAGGCATGGAGAAAAAAGCAAGCCTTCCTGAAATGCCTCTTTTCAGAGGAAGGGCATGAAGAAGGGCAAGGCGGAGAGGGCCAGCAGGGCAAAGCTGAAATCAGCAGCTGCTGGGGTGGCAGGGAGTGCGAAGGGAACATTGTGGGCATGCAGACGGGGCCGGGGCGGGATGCTTGATAACGCGGGGTCAGGGTCCCATGTTGGGGGACAGCAAGGATGAGCAGGTGGAAGTAGATACGGGGACTTGAGTCTCAGAAGGTGAGGGGGCAGGGCCGAGATTCTCAGGGGCCGAAGGGGCCGGCGGACTGGGCGTCCTGGAGGGCGAAGGGGACCGAGGTGCAGCTGCCGCAGGCCGGCGGCCTGGCCTCCCAGAGCGCCCACACCGCGGACGGGGCGGGCTGCACCAGCACCAAGGGCCGCGCGTCGTCGAAGACACCGAGGCTCCAGGAGCCGAGGCTGGGCTTCAGAGGCCCTGGCCTGGGCACGAAGGACGCAACCGCTCCGTTTTTGGTCAGCGGCTTGAAGGCGGAGGGCCGGGGCTGCGGGTTCCGCCTGCCGCCCTTGCTGCCTGGGGCCTGCACCCCCAGCGGCCCGCCCATCGTGGCGCTCCCCCTGCGGCCCGGGCCGAGCGCCGTCAGCTGGGTCTCCGGGGTCCAGGGGTCGGCGGGCTCCTGGGCGGCGGGGTGGCCTGCGGGGCGGGCTTGCATTCCTGGGGACCCCCAGGGGCTCTCGGGGTGCTCGGGAGGGGCGGTCCTGATGGTCACCGGGCTCCAGGTGCCTCCTGGGTTCGCGGCTCGCCACGGCCCCCGCTTCATGCAGTCCTCCCCGGCGCAGGCGGGGTCTCGCCGCGGGGCAGTGTCCCCGGGCCCGGCCGGGCGGCTGCAGGCCTCGGGGATCCCCCGCTGGGGCTTGGCGGGGTCCCGGCGGGGCCGCAGCTCGGGGAGGCGGGTGCTGGGTGCCGGCCGCCCCCACTGGACGTACTGAACGGGGCCCGGAGTCCGGGACGGCGGTGGCCGCGGGCTCCGGCGACCCCGGGGGCACGGCGCGGGCGGGGGCCTGCCGGGGGAGCTGCTCATGGGGGCCACCGGGGCGGGCCTTGCCGCGGGGTTCGCCCTCCGGACGCTCCCGAGGTCTGCGGACTCGGCCGGAGCTGCAGCGCCCGCGGCTGGGGACCGTTGGCCTCTGGGCGCCTGGAAGACACGTGGGGCGCGGGGGCGGGACCCTCCACTCGGGCACCGCGTGCGGGCCGCGAGCCCGGACACCCAGCCTGCAGGGGGACGGGAGGCCCCAGCCTCGCTCCCTCCGATACCAGCAAGTTTGTCTCTAGAGAGAGGGGCCTAGGAGCTACCAAGGTCTCATCGCCTCTCCTCCTCTGCCCTCCCCCCTTCTCCCCCTCCCCCCGCTCCCCCCTACTCCCTCTCCACCCTTCTCCCCCTCCTCCTCCCCCCTGCTCCCCCTCCACCTCTCCCTCTTGTGATGTCCTTCATATATCAAATAATTCACCAACTTGAAGTGCAGAATTCAGTGGGTTTTATAGCACAACCATCCATGCGTGCCCATCACCGTAGCAAATCAGAAAAAATTTTCATCGCCTCAGGAAGAAGCCCGTACCCTGTAGCTGTCACCTTCCTATCCACCTGTCCTCTCAGCCGCGACAACCAGGAATCCACTTTCTGTTTCTGTAGACTTCCCTCCTGTGGGCTCTCCTGTGGCATCACTTAGCATGATGATTTCCAGATTCTTCCTTGCTGGGACCTGTACATCCTTCCTTTTCATGTCCAATAAACGATTCCATTGTATGGATATACTACGCTGGTTTAGCCTTTCATCAGCTGATGGACGTTTGTGTTGTTTGCACGTTTGGGCTTTTGTCATAGACATTGGTGGACAAGATTTTGTGCAGACCAATATTTCCATGCCTATGTAGTTGGGAGTAGAATTGCTGGGTCTGTGGTTAGTCCATGTTTAGCTTCTTGAAGAACCACCAGACTGTTCTTCGCCTCTATACCGTGTTGCGTCCTCACTAGCAATGTTGCTCTATTTTATACCTGACATTTAGAAAGATAATGTATAATAACACCTGCAGAAAACTGCAGATAGTCTATTGACAGAAGGGCATTCTCTTTCATTATCATAAAAACGAACATAACTCACTGAAATGCTTTCAAGAAAAACGACTGGTTTTGTTTTAGTAAATAAGATACATGTTTTATTCTTCTAGAATGGCTATTAATGCCACATCTTGCAATTTACCTTTTAAGGAAATGGTGATTGTACACCACAGCTTATGTTTGAGAACTGACAATGATTATTTTGTGTAGACTCCTATAATTTTAAACTTTTATACATTCATATATAGATTGTCTTCCCTTCAGACATTAATGCAGTTTTTTCCATTTTTAATATCTGTGTATGGAGGTGAATGATTCACTTTTGTAGCTACCAGGTGAAAAGATCTGCCTACAAAAACATTATTTGAAGGCTACTGGGCAGTTGATTACAGCGATCACATTTGGAGGTCTGTTCAAGGTTGTTGTGTAAGACAAGCTGCTCTGGAAAGCCTCTCAACAGCGTTGCAGAAGGCAACACCTCAGTGGTTCCAGTCATAGGAGCAAAAAGTAGCCACTGACAAAATTCCAAAGCCAATAATCCACAACAGGTTTTCTTTTGGGATTTGAGAGACAAGCAAGTGAATGGTGAGTACACTAAAAAAAATGCTTAATGGGGCCAGGCGCGGTGGCTCACGCCTGTAATCCCAGCACTTTGGGAAGCCGAGGCAGGCGGATCATGAGGTCAAGATATCAAGACCATCCTGGCCAACATGGTGAAACCCTGTCTCTACTAAAAAAATACCAAAACTAGCTGGGTGTGGTGGCGCGAGCCTGTAGTCCCAGCTACTTGGGAGGCTGAGGCAGGAAAATTGTTTGAACCCAGGAGGTGGAGGTTGTAGTGAGCCGAGACCGCACCACTGCACTCCAGCCTGGCGCCTGGCAACAGAACAAGACTCTGTCTCAAAAAAAAAAAAAAAAAAATGCTTAATGAGAAATCTCTACTAAGGTTTTGTAGTTCAGAAAGGGGCTGATAATCAGGGAAGGAAGGCGCTGTCAGCCAAGAGGAGCAGCAGGGAGAGAGCCCCAGGACTTTCTGCTCACTGGCTCATTCATTTTCATTCTTCCAGATTCCTTAAGTAAGAATCCTCCAGTATAAGATTTTGAAAACAAATTCACTATGCTGTAACTTTCTCCTTAATAAGACATTTCTTGATAAGGATGACAATAATGTTTATAGCTAAAAAGCCTCTTTAGATGGTATTATCATTGGAGTGGACAGTTAATGCAGTGGGGGTCTAGATTTTTTTAAATGTATGTTTTCTTAATGTCTACACCGTTCTCCATGTCTTATTTGAAGTACACCCCAATGGGAGTCATTTTGGTTTGCTTTTGGTTAAAGACCCTTCAAAATCTCACAGTCTCCCTGCTGGTGCAGTGCAGGCAGCCATAAGTTAGTAGTCAAGTCTAATTATACCTTCCCAGGCAAAGGTGAATAGCTATTTCACAGACATTCAACATGTCTGTTTCTTTTCCTTTTCACACACTAAGAGACAACTGCTTTCTTCTGGTTAGGTAATATTAGAGATTGAGGTAGAACAGTAGTTTTCAGTTAGAGACGACTTTGCTGTACCTGCACCCTCTCACTCCCCCCATCCATCTGAGGCCATTAGAGAGGGTCTGCAGCTGAGGCTGCGCAGGCACTTGGGTGCACTGCTGGCATCTAATGAGTGGAAGCCTGAGGCCCTGCTAAATGGCCTACTGTGCTGAAAACACACTCCCACAACACAGAGTGACCGGCCCAAAAAACGTGAGCATGCAGAGATTGAGAAACACCTCTTCATACCCTTCTGCTAAAGTTATTAAATTACATAACAACTGAGTTATGTTTATCAAAGCTAATGCATTAACATTAGCTTCCATCTGTTAAGTAAACTCCAGTCCGTATTTGGATTTCACTGGTTTTTCTTTTTCTTTCTTTCTTACTTTTTTTTTTTTTTTTTTTTTTTTTTTTTTTTGAGACAGAGTGTGTCTCTGTCACCAGGCTGGAGTGCAATGGCACCATCTTGGCTCACCGAAACCTCCACCTCCCACGTTCAAGCCATCTCCTGCATCTGACTCCCGAGTGGCTGGGACTACAGGTGCACTCCACTACACCCAGCTAATTTTTGTATTTTTAGTAGAGGTGGAGTTTCACCTTGTTGGCCAGGATGGTCTCAATCTCCTGAACTCATGATGTACCCATGGTGGCCTTCCAAAGTGCTGGGATTATAGGCATGAGCCACCACGCCTGGCCTGGTTTTTGGTTTTTCTTTGAACTCACTTTTCTTTTCTAAGAGCTAATCGTCTTCAGTCTCTTCTAATCTGTGAGACTTGCTCAGTCTTTTCATATGTCCCATGATCTTGATACTTTTGAACAATACTGAGCAAGTATTTTCTAGAAATGCTCAGTTTTTAAAAACTTATTTTTAGCACTCTAATTATTTATTGTTTACCTGTCAGCCAAATTATCCATTCAGATAGTTTAAAATGCTAAATCACTATAAATTCTTATTGAAAAGACAGCACATCTCTGCCATTTATCCTGTTTTATTACCCAGAAAAATCTGGCTTCATGGTTTTCCATGTTTTTAAGCTGATTTTCTTTCCCTGAGCACTGCTGCCTATGCATTAGCTCCTTCTGTCCTCTGTGGGTCTGTTTTGCCTGAGCTCTGAGGTCTTTACATTTTCTCATGTTTGTAGAGCTGATAGCTTCATTATGTTCAATAACTTCGTGCTACATTTTGATCATAATTTTCTTTCCTTCGGACACATTTTTTACTCAGCACTATTTTTGATAAACATTTAAAAAACAACTTTATTGAGACATAATTCTTATGCCAGACAATTTACTCATTTAAAGTGCACAATTCAGTCCCTTTTAGTATATTCACATATATGGTCAGCCATCAGCCAGGTAAATCGCAGTATCTCTTCATTTCAAAAAGAAACCCTGAGCCCTATGGCTATCACACAGTACCTCTCCACCCCATTCTCAGCCCCAGGAATCACTAATCTACTTCCTGTCTCCAGATTTCTGTATTGTGCACTTTTATATAAATGGAATTATATAACATGCATTATGTTGTGACTGGCTTCTTTCATTTAATACAGTAATTTTAAGGTTATCTGTATGGTAGCAGGTACTTCATTCCTTTTAATGTGCAAAATATGTTTCAATTCATGTTTATACCATATTTTGTTTATTCTTTTGTCCACTGATGCACAAAAATGAATAATGACATTCTAAATATTATGAATAATGACATTCTAAATATTCATGGATGAAATTTTTTGTAGATAAATATTTTATGTTTGAATTATACACAGTAGTAAAACTTCTGAGTCATTTGATAACTATACTTAATCATTTAAGAAACTGCCAGAACTTTTCCCATACTGGGCATATGATTTTACATTCCCACCAACATGTATGAGAGTTCTGCTTTCTCCACATTCTCACCAATGCTGATTATTATCTGGCTCTTTGATTCTAGCAATTCTAGTTTGTGTGAAGTGGCATCTCATTGTGGTTTTGATTTGCATTTTGCTAATGGCTAATGGGGTGGAACATATTTTCATGTGTTTATCGGATATTGGTATCCCTTCCTTGGAGAAATGTCTAGTCAGATTTTTTATTCATTTTTTAATGGGGTTATTTGTATTTTTATTGAGATTTAAATGTTCATTCAATATTCTGCTTACAAGTTTCTTATGAGATACATGAGATTGCAAATACTCTCTCCTGTTCTGCGGATTGTCTTATTTTCTTTAAAGTAAAATTTTTTTTTTAATTTTGATAAAATCCAATTTAAAATTTTTGGTCATGAGATAGACAGATAGACAGATAGATAATGACTTACTTGGGACGGCTTACCTTGGAAGCTATGAAGTCAGTTCTAGGTAAGCAGTACAGATACTGAGATTTTTCTGAGCTCATTTATGATATTTATCAAAATGAAAGAAAAAGTATGTTTGCCTGAGAACCAAAGCAGGCGTACATTATGACTATGACTTGTGGGTTCCTTAAAAACGTAATAAAATTATGTTTATGAGTGTGCTGTGTGTGTGCATGTGGTGTGTGTGTGTGTGTGTGTGTGTGTGTGTCCCCACTTCGTCCTCATAGGCCATTCACTGTTTAGACAATAAACTTCAGAAATCTGCATCTATCCCAACTCCTCTCTTTATTTTAAGGGGTCTGGGAGGAATATTTCAACTGGTTCTGCAGCGAGGAAT